AATCAGAAGAATTCGATAAGGAAAGAATGCAAGAATTTGAAGAACAAATAGAAGAATCTATACAGATTTTTAATTATTTAAACCCATTTAGACAAAGTTTTAAAGAAAGATATAATATACCAGAAAATCTTCAATTTAGGAAAAGAGAAGATAATACATGGAATAGAGATGAACCGATTAATATATCAAGGGAACAAGGACAAATACCATGTATGAATTATTTGATTGCACTATTAATTACCAAAATCAAAGAAATGAAATTATTAAACAATTTCAGCTACCATTTGGCCACTAATTAAAAATCCTCAATGGGAAACTTTAAATATATGGTTGTTGGGTATCTCAATGCCATCCTTCCCAAACATATCACACTTCTGTGCTTTTTTCTGGTTATCCTGGGGAAGATTATCTTCAAGGATAGAGAAATTAGGATGCGTATTCATCTGGTCATCTGATTTTAATGTGTAACATAAAAATCCATATAGCGACCAAGAGAAAGAGCCACATGACGTTTATAAAAAAAAAATGAATGAAGGTATTTTTTTCTTTACATATTTTTAAGAAATATAATATATAGTAATAGGCAAAAATTTTTTTTTTTATATTATAATAAAATGGTATTTAGCTAAATTTGATAAAGGTAAATAAATATATTTACAACAAAATAATTCTTATTAAACATATAATAAATTTAAATTAACTTTTACAACACAAATAATTTTTATTAAAACATATCTAATTAATTAAATTTATTTTTTATTTCTTTATAATAACCAGTTGGTAAGCATTATATTATAAATTAATTTTTATAATACAAAATCTTTATTAAAACATCATCTAATTAAATAAATTTAATCTTTATTTCTTTATAATAACCAGTTGGCAAGTATTACAACTACAAATTAATTTTTACAACATAAAATAAATTTATCTAATCAATAAATTTATTTTTATTTCTTTATAATAACTAGAGAGTAAGTATTATACTATAAATCAACTTTTACAATATAAAATAAGTTTTATTAAAACATTATCTAATTAAATGAATTTATTTTTTATTTTTTTATAACAACCAGAGAGTAAGTATTGTACTATACATCAACTTTTACAACACAAAATAAATTTTATTAAATTTTATTTCTTTATAATAACCAGAGAGTAAGTATTGTACTATAAATCAACTTTTACAATATAAAATAAATTTTATTAAAGCATCATCTAATTTCTTTAGAACAACCAGAAAGTAAATATTATACTATAAATCAACTTTATAACACAAAATAAATTTTATTAAAACATCATCTAATTAAATGAAATTTATTTTTATTTCTTTAGAACAACCAGAGAGTAAGTATTATACTATAAATCAACTTTATAACACAAAATAAATTATCTAATTAAACAAATTTATTTTTTATTTATAATAACCAGTTTGTAAGTATTATACAACAAATTAATTTTTACAACACATCTAATTAAATAAATTTTATTTTTTATTATTTAAATAACCAGCTAGTAAGTATTATACTATAAATTAACGTTTACAACACAAACAAATCATCTAATTAAATAAATTTATTTTTTATTATTTATAACAACCAGCTAGTAAGTACTATACTATAAATTAACTTTTACAACACCAAATAAATTATCTAATTAAACAAATTTATTTTTTATTTCTATAATAACCAGTTTGTAAGTATTATAATTAAACTTTTACAACACCAAATAAATCATTTAATTAAATAAAATTAATTTTTATTTCTTTATAATACCTAGATTGTAAGTATTTATAAATTAATTTTTACAACACAAAATAAACCATCTAATTAAATAAATTTATTTTTATTTTTTTATAATAACCAGTGGGTAGGTATTATACAATAAAACTTTTACAACAAATGAATCATTTAATTAAATAAAATTAATTTTTATTTCTTTATAATAATTAGGAAGTAAGTATTACACTATAAATTAACTTTTACAACACAAAATAAACTTTATTAAAACATCATCTAATTAAATAAATTTATTTTTTATTTATAGATTGTAAGTATTATATTATAAATCAACTTTTACAACAC